CTTAAACGGGTCAGTATACGGAATTGTAAACGCTGGGCGATTTGGGGGAGATTCATTCAAAGAACCACCCATGACAATTTTGAGTAGAACTCACAATACAGAATCTGCAGGAGTCTTTAGTTAATTCAACATAAATAGAGGATCTCTGAAAAAGCAATCAATAAAAAAAAGTGATCGACATGTTTGTGAATGACTGGTGAACCAAAGAAAATCGGTCAGCACTGACAGTTTTTGAACAGCTAGTTCATATTATCTTCTTTGACGACTCTTTTGGTTAATTTGAGTCCCACTACTCTTTTGACGTTTCGGCTACGGTATGGAAGGCTGCCTATACGGCACAATGTATAGTACGTCGCGTTTTGGTGTTTGCTGCATATACAACGTAATCAGAATATGGATACCAAAGAGCATAATACGTAACAGGAGTTGTATGTTCGTTGCCCAGCACTGATCAAACGTCTTGATGAACTGTGAATCCGCAGCTAAAATACACAATCGCGCAAACTCGGATGACGATTAATTAGCCATGATCACGTGAAGTTACGACAAGACAGCTGAGTTGAGGTGGCATACACAATGCCTACGTTCTACGCACAAAATTGAAGTCGTAAAACTGATTTTCCCGTCTATTATTATAGAATGCAGCAAGCAAGTCAAGGTGTTTGGTGTTCCGAACGTTGGCTACAACCCAGCTTGACAACACCATCCCGAGTTGGATCCTTGTAGGGCTTTTAGTCTTCGGATCTGCACCGCGTAACGGCAACACTGACCGTAAGCCACTTGTTGTGCGTCTTTGTTGTCACTTGCCATGTATTTCTTCATCGACGTATTTGCACAGGATCAGCCAACAGTGAGTTGTTGAGATTACTGCTTCATTCTTCATTTCTCCTGGAAGAGCACCATCGGAAAACAAAACATTCGTGACGACTATGCTGAACTATAGGGCGTTATTCAACGCTGCATTGGTTCTCACCATGATGGGAGCTTCTGGTGCGCTGACGGTCACAGCTGAATTGAGTGTAGGACAAGCGGCGGACCCGTCGTCAGCCCAGTACACGCTGTCTGCCTTCGCTACCGGTGATTGGGGGCCAACATTGTACAAGGGTTCCTGTTGTAGAAGCGACTCCAACAACTACGATCTCCATTCCCAAAAGGTGGTGGCAACGCTAATGGACATCGAAGCTGGAGCTTCCATCACGCCCGAGGCTGTTCTAGCCCACGGCGACAATTTGTACTGGAACGGAATCAACTACCTCAGTGAGCGCGATGGTCGGTTTGCTGCATCATTTGAGGCCAAGTATGATGGAGACAACATCAAGAATGTCCCCTGGGTGGCAGTTATGGGCAACCACGACTATGGTGGCTCTGACTACATCTGCAGCAGTGGAGACAAGCTCGTTCCGTGCAACAGTACGGAGGAGCTGTTTCAAGGTCTCGACAACAAGCTCAAGTGGGAAGCGGAATACAAAAGTCCGAACGACAACCGTTGGCGCATGCAAAACGACCACTTCTACGTCCACCGCATTGAGGACCCAGCCACAGGTGTGAGCATCGACATTTTCAATGTGGACACGAACGATGCCGACGTTCACGGCGCCGATCTCGTCTGCTGCCAGTGCTACGGCTACGCGAAAAGCGACAATTCAGGATGCAACACCGTTACGCGCAACGATAAGTACTGTTTCGGCGGTAACACTGCCATGTTTGACACCTGTATGGCCAAGTTTGCTGAATGGGGTGCGGATTCCCGGGCTCGGTTAGCAAAGGAGGTGAAGCAGTCGACTGCGACCTGGAAGATCGTCAACAGCCACTTCAGTCCTTACGACCACTACTTTGAGGCTGGCATGAACAAGTGGTTTGATGCTCTGAGGCAGTCCGGCGTTCGGGTTTTCTTTCATGGTCACACGCACGGTGAGAAACACGACTACTCGGAGTCTCTGGGAGTTCATTTCGTCGAAAACGGAGCTGGTGGTGGCAGACCTAAGGAATATGCTAGTACAATTCAAGCGTATGCTGCAAAGTACGTGAAGAATGAGTGGGCCTACATTCCTAACGAATACGGCTTCTTCTCGTTGCAAGCGTCGAAAGACTGGCTGAAGCTGCAATACCACACGACGGATGACAAGTGGAACTTCACGGAAAAGTGGGAGGAAATGACGATCGGTGGCGTAGCGACCAAGCACTGCTGGTACATCCCTGCGGATGGATCGGAGGGCAGGGCCTGCTAAAAGCAGAGTGAGAGTTGCTGCCGGTGGCATTCCTCCCTGCTAAC